GCTGCACCCCAGCGGGCTCCGCGCAGCTAGCTGGGGGTCCCGGTGCCTGTGTCCCCTGTACCCAGGCGCTTGGCTCACAGGACACCGCGGAGCAGGGCTGTGGACACTGCGCATCCACACCCTCCTCCACACCGAGGACAGCTCCGCCCTCTAACCACCCCACTCCCAGCACCCCTATGCTGTGATCCCCCATCTGCACCACATGCATCCCGCACCTGCAAACTGCACCCCTACACTGGCCCCCATTTGCACTCTCTTCATACCCCCCATTTCCCTCCTCTCCTTGCCCTGACTCTGGGCAGGCTGCAGCTGTCCTAAGAGCAGGGCCAGGGGAGGGTCGCCCCAGAGGGTTTGTATCCAAAGGGGCATTCAGGGTAGGTAGGAGCAGGCAGGAGCTTTGCGGTGCACAGCAGATTGCATTGCATGGCCTGTTTAGAGTGAACCTAATCTAGGCTTTGGGCACATCTAGGGTGCAGCCAGGCTGTGCTCCACCCCATCCCCAGTGGGTGCACAGGGCTCAGCTGTGGGGAAATCACAGGCAGCTGAGGAAAGAGGGCTGAACCCTGAGGGCACAGCACATAGAGTGGCACCATGTCCCTTCCAACCTGCAGCCACCTCTGGGTATTCCTGGGTGGTAGTGGGCTCCTCTGGGCCAGGCAGCCATACTCTAGAGCTGTAATCCAGCCTGAGAACATCACTCCCATGGACTAGCTCCATCATGGACCCAGCCTGAGCCTATCCATCCTTTGAGTTTGCATCCAGGGCCAGCTTGCATTACCCAAGGGCTGCAAAGCCCCAGCCTTTCTTACCCTGCTACCAGGCTTTTGCAGGCCAGTTCAGACTGGTGGAGGCAGCACAGGGTCCTGCCTGCAGACTCTGACCTGCCGTAAATACCAGAGCAGCAAGTAGGGTTAGTGGAGACTCTGCTGCAGTCTGCATAACCATCTGGCAGCAGGAAATAACACAGGCTCCAAGCTTAATCATGAGGGTCAAAGTCGATGTTTTCTTCCCCAGAGAAAGCTACTGCTGCCTGGTTTGTCAAAAAGAACAGTACCTGAGGGACAGTCGAATGTTGAGCGCTGCTGGTACAAACCTGCTCTGGATGAAAGGAGGTTCATTCTTTTGGGCAACTGAGCTATACCTCCAGCCTGGTGTGCCAGAGCTAGGGCATTAGTATACATCTGGTGCCATGGGTATCAAGAGGCCATGGGCACAGTTTGGACGCAGCCCTGAGGAGGTGGAGGGGCAGCCCTTCCTGAGCACAGTGCCAGCAGGCAAGCAGACCCTGGGCTGACAGCCCTTTGGTGCTGGCCGAAGCACTGAGCCTTTCTCCAGGGTGATGATAGGCTTCAGGGATATCCACAGCCCCAGCTGCAGTTGCACCACATAGCCATGCCCTCTGCAGCTGCAGTCCTCAGGGGATCTCTCAGGCAAATCCTGACTGGAAAAGAAACTCCTGGAGAGGGCAGATTTGGTTTAAGTGTTTTTTTATAGCTCACTTCCAAGCAGGGAAATGAGGAGTGTGGACGTGTAAATCCCTCCAGTCCATGTGGGCTTCAGAAACAAGGAGCAAAGTAGCTCACAAGCTGCCTTGGGGGCACAGCTCCAGTCCCCCATGAGGTGTCCCTGCACCACAGGGTCAGGCCATGGTGTGCCACGCAGGCACTTCCATCTCACTCATCCTCCTGGCCAGCTGTGGCTCCCCTGAGCAGGGTTTGGGGAGAAGCTGCATCCCTTCTCCTGGGGCAGCAGTCCCCTCCTCGGTGGCAGATCTGGCCTCCTCCTCCTCTTCCTCATTCCCTGGGCAGAGGAAGCAGCAGGGGAAGGCTTTACAGGAGGATGGCAGCAGCCTCCTCAGACAGGCAGGGAGCTCATAGGCCTGGCTGGCTTCACACTTCTTCTCTCCACGGGGGTGGTGATGACCTGCCCTGGCTTTCCATGGTGCCAGCTCAGAGAGCAGCCCTCTCTCCTCCAGGGTTCCTGCAAGTACGGTGGTGGGTAATAAGATGGAAGCCTCTTCCTCTGGCTGTGTCCTCCTGGCTCACACCAGCCCCAAAACCCCCAGCATGGCTGCCTAGAGGCAGAGCCAGTGGTCCCATGGCCAGATCCAGCCCTCAGAGCAAAGCACCTGAAGCAGCCCCTCACCTGAGACTGTGTTCTCCAGGAAAAATGACAAGAAGCCAGTTAAGAAGACAGGCACCATGAGCAGGGAGAGGAAAAGGAGATCCAGAGGCACCCAGCCTGCAGGGACAGTACCAGAATCACCCAGCATATCCCAGCCCAACAGTGAGGAAGGGGCAGGAGCTACCAGAGCAGTTCCGGGGGTTGAAAAGGGAGCTGCCTGCTGCTCAGAGACAACCAAGCCTCCCAGGACAGAGGTGTGTGGTCACCATGCCCCAGGGCCTGAAGCTTTGCCTTGCCTCGGGAATGTCCCGGCTACCTGTGGCCAGGTGAGCTGGAGCCGCACCGAACCACCGCGGCACCAGCAGGGCCATGAACATGGCGAAGCCGACGATGAAGATGTTCCTCCCCGAGTCAATGTCTGCGTACTGGAAGTAGGAGATCCCCGTGCCCACAGCCATGGCGTAGGTGACACAGAGCACCCCTCCTGCGAGGGGCAGGAGTCAGGCAGCGCCAGGCAGGCTGCGGGCACCGCTGTGCTGGGGCAGGGCAGGGTACCCACCATGAACCGCCAGCGGGATGTGGGTGAGGAGCCCTGCCAGCCTTGGGGACATGCCCAACACCACGCACGCCAGACCACTGACTTGCACGGAGAGGCGAGAACCAGCCTGGCAGAAAGAGAGGAAGCGAGGATGGGGAGCATCACCACCCCTGCTCTGTCCCCCCCTATCCTGCCATAGACACCTGCCTTTCCCTGTGCTGGCTTGCTGACAGCCTGGGTCCTACAGGTCCCCTGTACCTCCTGCTGCCTTGCCTCCCATCCCAAGCCAACCTTCCTGCCCCATCCCGGGCATACCTGTATGAGGCTGGTGGTGCAGGCGTTGGCGATGCTGGCAGCTGTGCCCCCTGGGGTGCCCAGCAGCCCTGCCAGGACGCTGCCCAGCCCTTCCACACAGACCCCTCGGTTGCAGGCATGTGGGGGCAGCTGGGGGGCTTGCAGTAGCCTGCCGCAGAGCACATAGCAGCCCACCGAGTTCATGCTGCAGCTGATGGCCATGGCAATGCCCACTGCCAGCGCCCGGTGAGTGACTAGAGGCCACCCCCACTCGTCTGTAGAGTAAGAAGGGAGGGGTGATAGAGGCCCTGGCCAGAGGCAAACGGCTGCGCCCAGCTGTGTCACACCCCACCTGCATAGGGGATGCGGACCCAAGGAGCGTGGAAGGTGCCGTTAGCCCAGGACAGCTGTGCCATGACCAGGTCCAACGATTCCCAGGGGATGTGGAGATGGCTGAGGATGGCACACAAGATGCAGACACCGGCAAATGGGAGCAGTACCTGCAAGGCAGCAAGGTGACCCTCAGCAGGGCAGCCTTCTCCCCTGCCTGCCCAGGCCAGCACCCTGTCTGCTGTGCACCAGACAGCAGGTCCTTGTCTTCTCACCTCTCCCAGGTAGCTATTCCACATCTCCCTCTACCCCTGCAGGGAGCATCCCAAGCTCTGCTCAGACACCCTCAAGTGTATGTCTCCTATGCTGTCCCAGCAGCATCCACACCCTGGAAGCTGCACCAGGACTTCTCACCCCTTCCTCTGCTCCCAGTACCCAGCTCTGCTCCAGGGAAATGGGGTCCCACCTATCCCCACACCAAAGAGGCAGGCTAAGAGAGAAGCCTGGTGCACTGGGAGGAGCAGGGGTAGGCAAGCCATGGTACCGAGAATGTGCGCAGGGTGGGGACAGACAGTTCCATGGAGCCCCCCCCAGCCTGGGGCCAGGTGCAGAGTGGCAGGCGGCAGGACCCCAGGTGCTGGGAGAAGGTGACAGCGAGGAACATGAGCCTAGGAGAGGGAGCACAGGTCATCACACAGCATCAGGGAAATGGGGCCCCAAACACATGCCATGCACCCTGGGGATGCCCCATTCCTGTCCCTATGGTGGAGGGAAGCCCCAGGGGCTGCACACCAGCGTGGACCCTGGGCTCACGTACAGAAGCGCTATCCCCCAGTTAGTGGAGCAGAAGAAAGCAGCCTCCTTGTATGCAGACAGCCCAATAACAGAGAGGCTGGGGGCCAGGACCATGGGCCCGCAGCGCTGGGCTGCCCAGCCACACACACCAAACACCCCCAGCATCAGCTGAACCGTCCCAGACACCAGCACGGCACCAGAGACCTGTGGGAGGAAAGGATGGGACCTGTGGGGCAGGATACACAGAGAGCAGCCCAACACCTTCCCTTGGCCACGATCCCACTGCCCCAGTAGCACCACTTGCTCCCCAGGTTCCACTCGTCCCAAGCCCAAGGGAACATATGCATTCACATGCACCACGATCCCCATTGCCTTTGCACATCCCCTTGGGCCTCCCAATTCATGGAAATCCCCAGGAGGGCTGGAAAGGTGATGACTGGGGTACTAGTGGAACAGGAGGACAGGGATCCCCAGCCCAGCACTGGAGCACCCACCTCTCTCAGCGAGGCAGCCCACTTCCCTGTGGCAGTGCAGTGCGGCGCAGGGCACGCGCTGGCCACAGCTGTGCCTGGAAGGGAATTTCGGAGGGATGTGAGGCACGTGGACTTCTGGAGCTGAGTCCAAGAGCACACAGCACAGAGGCTGCTGGCTGGGGAAGGGCCAGCGTGCCTGCATCCCCATTAGCCCTGACCCTGGGGAGGCAACCAGATGCATTGTGGGTGCACCATCAGCAGAGGTGCCAGCAGGCAGGACTCCATGCTTCTCCTCATCCCTCCCCCGTGCTCGTCACTGCCATTCCCCTGGCACCGGCGTGGCCCAGGCCCCGTGGGACACAGGCTCCAGGGCTGTGCTCACCATTCCCGTCTGTGCTGGCACCGAGGGACAGGTGGGAGCTCAGCACCACGGCAGGGACCAGGTACTCGAAGGATGGGATTTGAACCAGTGGCAGCCTGGGGATGGGGACAGCAAGGGCACGTTAGGGAGGAAAGAGGGGACAGGGCTGCTCCCAAAGTCCCGGCTGCACAAGGAGTGAGGTATGAGAATGGAAGGAGGCGAGAACCCCAAAGTGACAGGAAGTCACCCCATATCCCAAATGTGCCCTAGCACATCCCAAGCAGCAGCACATGGGATGTGCACAGAGGTCAGGCTTTGCTGAAGCACACACCTAGCCCATGTGGTGCATGGGCAGCACAGGGTAGTCTGGAGGAGCTGTATACGATGGCAGAATCAGAAAGATCTGGTTTGGAAGGGACCTTAAAGATCATCTTGTTCCAAGCCCCCTGACGTGGGCACAGACAGAACAATGCTGGAGCAAGGCGGCGAGGAGCTGGAGGGAAAGCACGGCAGTTTTGCTACAGGTATGTGCAAGACAGGAGGATGCAGTGATGGCAGGGAGGGACAGCCACATAGAGGTGTGGGGCAAGGGGTTTTCCTCATGCCCCTTCCCACCTCCATCACCACCTGGCTTCCCACAGCCTAGGAGGGGGTACAGACACGCCCCATCATGACATCACCCTCCTCGTGGCAACAGCTGCACCTCCTCGGTCCCCCTTGCTCACCGGCTCCCCAGGGTGGTCTGCAGGACCGTGGAGAGGCCGCAGGCAAAGAGGCTGCGGGCCAGCAGCTCACTGGTGGCCTGGGCATGGGGTGGCTCCTCGGGCAGGGTGGGCAGCAGGAGGAGGTGGAAGATGCAGAGCAAGGAGGCCTGCACAGCCAGGTGCTGTGTGGGGAAGAAAAGGAGTAGTCACAATTCCCTGGGGCATCCAGAGATGCAGTCCCCCATGCCCAGCTGCCCCAAGTGGGTGCATGCCCACTGCTGCCCACCCCCTCCCAGCACACCCTGGCCAGAGCCCCATGCACCCTTTGCTTGGCAGGATGTGGCCCCTGCCCTCCCACCTGCAAGCACCCCAGCCCTATTGCCATTATCTTATATCTCTGGCTGCTCACTGTGGTCCCCTCCTTACCTGAAGGGCTAATCCACAGCTCAGCACCCAGGAGCGCACGTTCTGTGGGGAGCAGGAGGCAAGCACAAGGCTCCTGGCACCACGCGCTCCGTGGTGGCTCCCATTCATGCTGCTGCCTGCTTGCACTGCTCCCGGGTTGCAGTGTGTAGGGGGTGGACAGGCCCCCACCCCCCGATGGCTCCTCACGGCCCTCACACAGCTGAACTTCCACCTTCTGTAGGAGCTGCCCCAGGGTTAGCCATTAACTTGAGTTGGTGAGTAACTTGCCTTTGCAACTAGGAATGCAAGTGTCACCCTGGGTTGTCATCACAAGGGCCAGGTGAGAGCCACCCACAGCCAGGACACCAGACACTGTTACAGTGCCAACTGCCTAGGTCCCATCCCTGCCTTTTGTGGTGGCCTTCTTTCATATTCTTGGAACATCCCCACCAGCAGCACCCTCCAGCTTGTGTGCCCTGCCCATGCTTGTTCCTCCTCAGCACAGCAATCCCCTGCCCTCCTGGGTCCAGCCCTTCCTCACCATAAGGCCTCGAGGAGCCTGTTAAAAGGTGCACAAGCCCTCCCAGATCCTGTCATTCCCGTGTGGGCACTGTGCCCATGCCAAGATGCGGGTCTACCACATCCCCTGTGCTCTAAGAAGGAGGGCACTGAATCCTGCTGCTGGACAAGGACACCAGGGACAAGAGCTGCCTGCTTGGCTAGGAAGGCTCCCAAGGGAGCACAGGCAGGGGATGTTTTTGTCCCAGGGCAGAGGTGGCCGTGCCAGCAACCACAATGGCAATCCTGCCAAGCTCTTGCTGCTTGGGGTTCACTCATTAACTGGACATACTTTGGAGAGCAAAGAGCGGTGGAGAAGATGCATTCCATGCATTCCCAAGGAAGGGAAACCTCTCCTCTCTCTGTGCCTGCCCATTGCAGGCACCAGACCTAATGTCCCTCCTATCAGCAGAGAACCCAGTCCCTCTCGAGCCCTGCAGGCCAAGCCTCACAGTGCTCCTGGGCTCGGCACCGCAGCTCAGAGCGGGCACAGCTGGGAGATGGGGATCGGCCCTGGGGTGGGCATGTTGCCAGCACACAGTGCCTCAGCAGGACCAGGCTGGTGCACAGCAAGAACTACTTTTATTGGAAGAGATTTGCATCTACAAAAGAGTGAAAAACAGGTGTAAAATCCACAGTAAAAAGAAGGGGCAGGATGAGTTGGGCTCGTCAGCAGGACAAGGTGCCTTCTCCCCACCCCGAGGAGCAGTCAGGCACCATTTGCTCCCAGCCACAGACAGCAAGGTTTGGAAAGGGGCCACAGAGCACTCAGTTTCAAAACACCCAACGCAAGCAAGGTAAGGAAGCTCAGCTTTAACCACACCTCAACACCTCCAAGCCCAGCAGGGCACAACCTTTCCCCAAGGTACAGCCACACTGGAGTCCCCTCTTAGTGTGACCCTTGCACCTCCCAAGAAGTGGCCTGGTGGCCCCCAAGGGAACTGCTGCTATGGCCAGCCAGCTTGGGCTGCTCGCTTTGTCCTCCTTCAGCCTCCCCTCCTGTCACCCAGGCACCCCACCTCCTCCTGGAGCACCCTGCCCCTCTGCCCTGTACACACAGCCCAAACATGCTACATTCCACACACCACCTCTGCCCAGCACCACCAAGGGCCACCCTCTCACCCTAAGAAGAAGAACAACACCCCCATTGCCATTAGCACCCCAGCCCAAGGGAACACCATTTCTACCCTCCAGCTAGTAGGTTCCTACCCCACCACCCCAAGAGCAAACCAGCTCTGCTGCAACCTGTCCCAGCAGCCCCCAAAATAAAGAGCACCCCTGCCCTGGGCAGCAGGACACAAATGCTGGTTTGGAAGTAATGCTGGGGCCTCTAGGCCCGTGCAGCCCCAGGGATCAGGGGTCCCAGAGTTGCAAGGAAGTGAGTTGTGCCACACCAGGGGGGAAGGGGAAAGGGGCTGCTGCCTGTGCTCCTAGCTGGGGAAAATTAAGCTCTTGATTCTGCTGAGATCCATGGCAGTGTGCAAGGAGCACTGCCTCAGCCCCAGGG